GGGGCCTCAGCACCCAGCCTGGCAGCCCCTCTGTCCTGTCCCTGCAGTTCACAACGTGAAGCCGGAGTGCCTGGATGCCTACAACAAGCTGACGTGAGCCCCATCGCCCATCAAGGGGGCTGCCCAGTGTCCTGGGGGGGCTGCTGGGGGGCTACTGTGGAGTGAGAGGGGTGGGGGGGCTTGTTCTCCTGGAGACCCTGGGTGGGTCAATACCCCTGCTCCTTGCCTCAGTTTCCCTCCCTGTGGAATGGGTGCATCCCTCCAGAGCTCCTCTTGGGACGGATCTTTCCCTGCCTGGACCCCTCATGCTGGGCTGGGGGAGCAAATGGGGGTATTGGGATGGTTTGGGGTGTTTCTGTCCCCCCCAGCTCCATTCCTCTGTGTTTCTGTAGAGAGAAGGTGCTGCCCAAGCTCCACTTGGACTCTGACTACCCCTGTGACCTGGTGGGGAACTGGAACACATGGTATGGCGAGCAGGACCAGGCAGGTGAGGGCAGGCAATGGCAAAGGCAAAGCCCTTGGCTCATGCTGGGGCCTGGGACACGGAGGGAGAGGCTTGGGAGCTGCTGGGTGGGTCTGGGAGTGCGTCTCCCCCATCCCCATCCCGTTTTCTCCTCCCAGTGCACCTCTGGCGTTTCTCGGGTGGGTACCCAGCGCTCTCGGACTGCATGAACAAGCTCAAGCAAAACAAGGTACCGCCGGGATCGGGGGGAGCAGCCTGAGCTGCCCACATCCACTCTGCCTGACACGACCCCCCCCGGTCGGGGCTGTCCCCAGGAGTACCTGGAGTTCCGCAGAGAGAGGAGCCGGATGCTGCTGTCCCGCAGGAACCAGCTGCTCCTGGAGTTCAGCTTCTGGAACGAGCCCCTGCCCCGACAGGGACCCAACATCTATGAGCTGAGGACCTACAAGCTGAAGGTGAGACTCACAGAGGGAGGGTCCTGCCTGGGGTTTGGAGGGGGCAGCCCCCCAAATCCCTCTTGGAGCAGGTGAGATGTGGCTGCTCACTCTGGTTTCTTCTCTATTTCTAGCCAGGGACCATGATCGAATGGGGCAACAACTGGTAAGTGGTGTTTTTCCTGGCATACAGGGAGCCAAGGTGGGAAAAGGCCCCCTTGGATCAAGGGGGGCCCCTTGGGTTGGGGTCCCCCCCCGCCACGTTGTCGCCAGGGCTCGGGCCATTAAGTACCGTCAGGAGAACCAGGAGGCTGTTGGCGGGTTCTTCTCCCAGATCGGGGAGCTGTACGTCGTGCACCACCTCTGGGGTAAGGGGGGTCCCTGTCACCCCGAGGTACCCCACCGCAGGGGCTGGCTTGCCGGGGGCCCTGGGTGGCAGGTCCCTACCCTCCAT